AAGGTAAAGAATAGGAGTGATGAATGTGGTGGAAGGGTTCAGTAAAGGCCTTGAATCCAATCAAAACACTGTTTTTGATTCTGTTTTTCATTTCACCTAAAATAATGTTTCAATAGTCACTTGCTGAAGTTGCTAAGAACCAACCCTGGTCTTTGAATGGGTACTTGTTTTGAGCAAAACACTTCTCTGTGGCCTCAGCTGAACTGTGCAAGCTCAATGCAGCTGGAGCTTGGGGAACAAGGCATTGTGGGGATTAGCTAATGGTTTTTCACACTGGCAACCCAAGAAGAATGGTTCCTGCTTGTGGCGATGTAGTTGTGTTGCTAGACACCTGATTGTCCAACACTGCAAGAGATAAGTAACCCCAAAGGTGTCTGAATAGTATATATGACCGAATGCATCAATGTTATTTTTAAATCAGGAGTTCACTAATATATATTGGTCAGTGAAATGAGACTGTCAGTCCCTCCGCTGCTTCTCTCTCTTGGCATATGTCTGTTTCCCTGTGTGTTTGTATGTGGGAATAGAGAAATCTATGCTCGAGGTCAGAGCTAAGGATCATACCTTACATTACAACCTCCGACATGTCTACCACCTAGTAGATACTCTGCTTATATAATCAGTCACACGTTCAGTAACTTGTATATGATGTGCTATTCTAAACGTATTCTTTCTCTAGTTAACTTCTATCCATGTGTCTGCAGTTTCAAAGTAAACTCAGTCAGGTTTCTGGCACCCTGCTTTAGCTCCAGCGCTTCCTACTACTAACTGAGCTTCTCCATGGCCACTTTTCTTTGCTCAGTTCATTTAGTCATTTAGTCACCTTTTTGTGCAACGGCATCTTAACCAGTTCCTCTGATTCTTGTTGCCTGCATTTACAGCTAACTTAGCTGTAACATATGTTGCAGTCCAGATACCTGGAAACACAAATGTAAGATTTGTTTGGGTCCTAGCAAAGTAGAGACATTCAGGGATCACAATCATTATGCTTTTTGTTGTTGCAGTACATTCATGGATAGAGATTGGACTTTCTGAGTAGGAAATCGAGGTTGAGAGGGCATCCCATAAAAACTTCGGACTAATTCAAGAATGCACCAATAGAACAAAACTAAAAAGTGCCAATACCAATGGACACATGAAATCTGCAGCCATTGTAACGGTTTGTCTTTGCTTCAACTGTTTCCTTAAAAAGACTCCAATTTTTTAAAAACTGTTACATTTCATGGTGAAAAGCCTGACTTTCACCAGTTGTTGGTGATTTATGAGTGGAACCCTCCAGAGCCCCACAATGATGCAGTGGGACACTGAAAATGAGGAGAAATATTGGCAGCAACCATCATAAATACATTATACATTAACAGAAAATATTATTACTGAAAGTTCAGCTTGCTACACATTCTCCCATAAAATAAAATATTGATTAGGATTGATATGTAGAGTATGAGTAGTGCAGACAGACTAGGTTTTACAGTTGTGTATGTTCTCAGTGGTAGCTCTGTTTACGAGAAACAAGATGCACTTTCAAAAACAAACTGTGTACACATGCAGTATTCAGTGGTGCACATGGCCACATCGATGCAAGGAGTGAATCAGAATCCCTATGAGATGCTTATTTTTCAGAGGCTGACCAAAAATACTCAGTTAGGTGTGCACACTTCCTGTGAACACAAGCACATGAATAACTTTATTTCAAAAGCACCCACAAACTTTTTGTGAAGTTTCTCTGAAACAGACAGGCGAAATACACATAAAGCCTTTAACAAATGAATAACAAATCTCGCATGTGTCAAGCCCTTCACAGACTCATACATATATGCATAAAGGTTCTCACATGCACACACGTGCAGTGCGGCTGCTTGCCTCCCACATGCACTGCTTGTGACGCATTGGAAAAGTCATTAGACCTGCACTTCCTCTCCAAACAGAAGAGAAGGAAGAAAAAGACTGTCTTACATGAAACACACAGGAAATGTGTGGGTGAATGCTTGTATGTGTATGTGTCTGTTTCTGTGTGCGTACATGCGTGCGTGCATGGATGCGTGCATGTAGACGCAATTGTATATTTCTATGTGCATGCACGTATCTGGAGATCTAAGGTCCCACCCTAAGGACTGGTGACCGAGGTCTTGTAATAGCTTGCTTTGATTGTTTCACTGACTAGACTACAGCTACAATTACAGACAATTAAGACACTCAGCCAGTGATTGGCTTGCTCAGCAGGCTAAGCTGCACACCGTAATCTTGTGGATTCAGCATTTGTCCAAAGCTTATCCTCCTATTTTCAGATTTGGACTTGAATAAAACCAAGTACCCACTTAAGTTAGGATTACTCGCTCAGAGCATTATTTAGCACATCAAAAAGCCGTCTGCAAAGGCATCTCTGATTAAATACACAATAATGGCAAATATTTCTACATTTTTTCATCATACTTAATGTGTAAGTCAATATAATCTCTCAACTGTGGATACTGTAGTTACACAAGTTTCATTTCTCTCTACAAAAAAGGTAAAAACAGTCAGAGCTTCTGCTTTTCAATGGAATTTTTGGCACTAATGTTGTAACTTATCACTTGACATATGGGGTGTGTGTGTTTCTCGTTTTGTCTTCCTATGTAGGAGCTGTGACTTTGCATAACGTCAAAACCAGCACTTCCATGCGGGGAGGGGGCATATTCATATTCACCGCAGTAAATACGAATGTGCATGTGTAGGTTGAGTACGTGTTTAATGCTATATGTGCTAGCAAGGGCAACTGAAGCGAGTGATCTACAGAAGCATTGTGATAAAATAAATTGTACAACAGGGATGCTGTGTTGGTACTCAAAGAAATCCAAAACAACCAGGACAGGAAGAAAGACAAAAAATGAAGGAGGCAGACGGTGAATCCTGGGGTTTGGACATCTGGAGAAGTGTCAGGAAGCTCAGTCACTTCATCACTGAAGGTGTAATATTTATCTATGTGCACTAGAGCATGTCAGCCTACACACACACACATGCATACAGTGTACCAAAAACAGCACAGACAGGTGAAGGACAGCTTTTCTGACTTACACAGGGACACATATTCCCCTTCACACAGACACACACACAAACCAGTGATTAGTTTGGACACTCGCTGCTTATTGCTACAGTGAACATCTGTTACCTCAGCAGGATTTTTAAAAATGCATTTTTGTGTGCGTACACATACAGACATTAACTTTTCCCACAATATTTAATTTTCTACCACTCTCTTTCTCTATCCCCACAAAAATACACACACGTCTACATTAGATGTACTGCTTCCATGCCCTACTTGTTTGGTACTTACTGTTAGAGTTACTAATTTCTGACACTGACTAAAGGTATCCGTTCAAGGACCAAAAAGCTGTTTCCAAACAGTAAACATGTAGTTGCATAATTCTGGGGGGTTTTGTTTTGTTTTTTTTCTTTTCTGCAAGTGAGCTCTGGGTGTCAGCCTTCTTGGGGCCTTTGTTCTTCCCGTGCCTGGTGCTTTTCTAACTGGGTGCTCTCCTTTCCTCTCACCGTCTGGAGGCATGCATGTTAGCTGAGCATAGGTGAAGATGTGAGATAAGCTTTGACAAGTCGGTCAGTATAAGTAGAAAAATGCTATGCTATGTACTAATATGCAAAGGTACAACGTTAGCACTCAAACATCCTAGCTGGCTGGAGAAAATCACAGTCTTATGCAATCATAAACATTTTAACAACATAGTTTTGTTATGTTTGTTTTAATGGGAACCAGGCTGAATGTCAGTTAAATCTGGATCAGAAGTCTTAGTCATTCAACGTCAAGCCTCACCTGCAGAGACCGCAGGAAAAACATTGCCCTGCAAGTACAATAGGTCCATTTATTTTTCTGAGTGTACTGATCCTTAATGCAATTATAAACAGTGTTATGGTGGATGAACTGAGGAACACCTGTTCTTTAAGATTCCCAGGGGTATAAATTTCTTTACTGCTAAAGGCAAACACACTGTCAGGTGCTGTTTGTTATCATGTGAAATAGAAGCTCTGTGTGTGGGAGATTCACTATTCCACACAGAGAGGGGAATCCCCCAACACAGCAGACATTAAAAACAGGTGCTATTAACCCTTATCTGCAACTTTTGAGCTTCAGGGTGAACATTTAATATTGCACTTTTCAAAAGGGACTCTTTTTAGTTCCAAAAACTGTAATGCCGAAAACTCGGTTTGAGCATAATGTTTGGGTGTCCAGCTGGTATCAGTTTATTACCTTTAGTCAGTACAAAAAACAACTATCACAAGCATCACTGTGAGCATCAAATCCTTGTAAAAAGATATTTTTAACTAGATGCCATCCTGAAACTGATACACTGCTCAAACAGGATACTGTTAACTCAGTATTGGTGCATAATGTCAAAGTGCAAACCAATGTGAGAAAATTTAAAAAGGTGATCAACATTTAGGAAGTTTTGATGGTTAGCCACTTCAGACTTCTCTCTATCTGTGGCAAATGTTCCGTTCTAGTTGCTTTCGCAGTCAAACTTGTCTTGATAACACGAATAGATTTCCTGCTTCTAAACTGTAAACAACCCACACACAAGTGGTGGGATCTTAACATTTTGCACTTTGCGACAGCTGTTGCAACCAAAATGTCAGTGTTGACTGCACATAACGTGCTACCCGGTGAAGGGGAACCAAAAAAATTAGCCACTTTTAGCATGCTGTCAGTTGGTTGAATATTTACATCTTGCTGTTCTGTAACTTGCACCACTTTAAAAATTGCTTACCCCTCCATTTCTAATATTGAGGTTTCAAAAAAAATGTATTTCATATTTAATTCACTCATGCTCATGATAATCATCTCTCCAAAACACTGCCAAATTAGATGTGAATTGATATTTTTTGCATGTTTTAATACACACAATATTATCATCTAATTACATCACAAATACAGGAGACAGAGTTGTTCTAACCTAAGAGGTTATTAGTGTATATAATGCAACAGTAAAAAGCACATTAGCATAGTGACTTACCTTGGCAAGCCAATTCCCCTGTACATTCTCACTGTAGAGGTCTGGAGTCAGTGAGGATTCTTCCAGTGTTAATTAAACCGTCTGTCTTGGAGAGAATTAAGGTCGTGATCTCCCAGACCTCACCACTCCCACACTCCCTGAGAAGAAAAGAAAGAAGAAAAAGGGACTTAATGAAGGAATAAAAGGATGAAATGGCTTAATGAACCGCCTAACGAGGCCTGTGGCCGTTTAATAAGGGCTTATTAAAGCTTAATTAGAGAAATAATCAAGCTTGTTTGGAGTATTTCAGTGTTGACTTGTGGCTGATTGTGTTTTCATAGCAACTGGATAAACAAGGAAGAGTTAATACTCCATAGGAAAGAAGACATGTCTAACTGTGTGTCTGTCTGCGTACATGTGTTGTAGGGGATTTCAACAATAATTAGGTGACCACTTGAAGATCCTTCCAGTCACACGGAGGACTCACGCTCATCATTCGGTCACATGCTGAAATCGTACTGACATCCAATTCAAACACTGTGGCATCCTGAACATGGGCATAAGCAGCCAGCGTGTTTACTCCATGCCTGTTAAAAGTAGCACTATCAGCAGCTTAGTCATGTGTACTTTGATATCCTGGTGTAAAAGCCTGAGCTTTTGCATGCAACCTGAATTCCTGTACTTTTTTCCTTATTATATAGCAACTCACTGACTAATTACAGAGTTGTTCCTATTGTAAAATGATGCTACGGATTCTGATTAAATATTTGCAAATGAGCCACTGACTTTGTCCAGTATAAACCCAATAACTCATCAGGCAGAGTCACTCACTTACTGACTTAAAAACAGCACACCATATTTTCTCTACAGATGTTAGCGTGACTCACTTGAGTCAGACACTAAGTTACATTGTGCCTGAGGAAAGATCTGAAGAGAATGCAAAGTATACAGGACACTTGAGATGTCAGCTTTTCATTATTCATTCAGTGATGCCATCACTTCTTTGAGGAGTTAGAAAGGCTCAGCATGTGATGTATCCTTCTTGTATGTGCCCGCGAAACTCTAACGGCACTGGTTCTCCACTCTGGTTCTCCAGTTACTGATTCATTAAGTGATTCAGCTTTGTTAGACCCTTTTATGGACTTTGCAATATTCAGTGACCTCAACAATTAACGGTGTTACTCATCCTTCTTCCTGAGCAGGTGAGAACCCCAGACAAGCCAGCTAAACAACACTGCATCATGAGCAACACAGCTTGTTTGTTCATGCAAATGAATTCAAATATTCATGTAGAACCCCATGAATCCCTAAATAGGACAGAGGGACGTAATATAGCAAGTCAGAGGATGTAAATGCCACATTTTGTCTTGATTTGATTTTGTATGCTATGGGGTGCTAACCTTTAACATCATAACTGCTCATATACAGAATAAATACCAAATAAATGAACTTGGACTTCATCAGCAGTTCCTTGTAATTACTATTGTTGCTTTTAAATTATTCCAAACACTAACAGTAAAGGTACCAGGTTAGACCGCCATTATATAAATATATATAAAATCTTGGTGTAGAGTGGGCATGCTTTCTCAGCCAGTTTAGTAAACTGAGTGCTTTTTCCCAAAGGCAGCATCCAGTGGACCCCCCACCCCCATGAAGAAAAGGGTAGAAAAGAGCAAATTAGATTAATTAGCTATTAGATTACAGTGTAAAAAAATGGTTCTTTACTTTGTATTTATGCATTTTAACAGCTTTCTATGAAAACTTTTTTATCTAAAACACATTTTATCTACATTTCTATGTCATATTTGATCAGTAAACATAAACAAGATAAACAGTATTCACTTTGGCAGTTGTTGTGATTTGGCATTATATAAATGAAATTGAATTTTACTGAATTTTACTCAACTGAATTGAAATGTTGCATATAACTATACCTTTCAGCAAGTTTACTACATTGCCTTTCTGTCAGTTTTCTGTGAAAACACAAAACTTTGCAATAGAGAGCTTGTATGTCCCTCAAGCCCTTACTGCATCTTTGATGAACGCCTGCTGACAAGTTTTCAAGTTTCTAACCTTGGGCTGGCCGCTATGGTTGTAAATTTTCAGATGCTTTTGACCTCATATTTATTTCCTTTCATACCAGTTTGAAGTTTACAGCTGAGCTTTCACTGTCTAGGAATTATGTCATTTAGCCTGGGGTTAGACTGAAGACATATTCTTGAGGGTTATTAAGCGATCTTGGACATTACAGAGTAGATACCCTTGGAACACTGCACAGAGATGTGTGACAGCATTTCATGAAGAACCGCTGAACCCTCGCAGTTGCAGTTCACGGGCTGTGTCTCTGACAAGTCTGCTAAAATAAAAACCCCCGCACTCATTTCCAGAACGCCAAACAGCTGATGATTCCGGCAGAAGGGCCAACGATTTCCACTGCTCACATATTTTTTCCCCCTCCAATTCTAGACATATGTCAATTTTATGTCAGAGGATTAGAGATGCCAGTTATTGTTCTGCAGCATGTGAATGATGTCAACTTTCCCACAGGGCCTTTTCTTTGAGATGTAGACAGCAAAGCAGCTGACAATTCCTGCAAAGATGCCAACACACCACATCATTTACACAGCTAGCTCTTCAGTTCTGTCAGTTCTTCGCTGAAGAATTATTGAGAGGTTAAAGATGATGTCATCTTTCCAGCAGGGCTTTAAATCTCAGAGTTTATTATGCTACTGCACTGAGCTTTGGGAGCTGATAATGATGACAGCGGTGAGGCAGATGATATTGCTGGTCAGTGCAGTGGTCATGGTGGTAATGACAATGGTGATGTAAGCTTCCCCAAAGCCCCCCCCCCCCTTTTTTTAGTTTAATAGCATGAGCAGCTCACCACTTTTCTTTAAAGAAGCAGTGGCCAGATGACTTTAGCTGACTTCACCCCTTAATCAGTCGACTACGCCAGATAGTATCAGTATCAGTAGATCAGAAGAAAAAAAAACACTTACAATGTTACATCATCATGTGGTGTCTAATCTAAAGAATGTTTAACAGAATTTTAGAACGTTAATGCAAGATTTTACACACTAAGCCAAAACATGCCTGTTAAAGTAAGAGAAGTATCAGATTTAAGTGTCTATGCTTTTAATGCTGCAAGAACACTTTCAGCTGACAGTTAATATGTTGGAAGAAACCTTCACAATTATTAGGATGAGTTTGTGTCTTTGCCAAAGTTCTGCTAAACAGAGCCCACAACCTTTGGAGAAGTCTGAAATGCAGGCTCAACTGCTGAGAAGGCAGTTCAGCGTCTTTTGCCCTATTCAGAATTGATGAGACATTGTGTGCTCACACTTTGTATTTATTGTCGAAACCAATTACTTTAACATGCTCATGTTTCTATGGTAATGCCAGTGAATTATAGCATATCACGACCCTGTTCCCAGAAAAAAAAACTGCAGGCATCATCATTGTTTCCATTGTTTTCAGTCTTTCTTAGCATTCACTCATTTCCAAAGATTCCATGCGATTTTCCAGTTCCACCCTTCTCTCTTACTGCAAAACTATAAATTATGTCACTGGGTTTCATGCTAATTATGGCTAAACTGACAGCACATGCAGAGTTAAAACATTTTAAGACCAAACTCCCGACTATGTTGGAGCTTTAAAAGGTGAAAAAAATATTGCAAATGCTTCATTTTATAGCCCACATTGTGTTTTACTTATTATAAAGGATGCTTTGATAACCTTTTAAAGCTTTGAGATTCAAAGTTCTTTCTGGAAGTTCCATAAACTGTACGCTGTGCACTTTTGCACCTTTTCCAAATTGTGCAAAATCTAAAGCTCTCCTCCGACCCTTAATTGGCATCTGCCTCTTTATCTGTTTACATTAGTTTCAGTTGTTTTCAGCAGTCTCTGCCATGGCCTTCTTTCCTCCCAGTTACACCCTTGTGTGTTAAAAATATCATTAGTTTTAGGGGATGATGTCATTCTCTCAGCGGGGCTTTCCCACATTCAGCTGATAACACATGTGGTGGAGAACTGTTAAAACACATGGGTGTGTTACAGTTCTAAACTCCTAACCCATATCACTCTTCCATGAGAAACAGACCAAGGAGGGTATTTGGCAAGGAAAATGGTGCTCTTTTTCCCCTGACAGCAACGAGCAGCTTTAAAGCTCATCTAGATTGTGATTACGTTTGCTGAATACAATAACCAAGGCCATGTTGTTGCAGGCAGGCCACAGCTGTGATGTACTCCATAAAAAAATCCCAAAAACACTTCATGCTGTGGTCGTTCGTTTCACCTTGCTGATTTAAAGAAACTACAACTTCTGCTTGAACAGCGCAGCGTTTCCACATATTGTGATGCCTGAGCATTGACATCAGTCCAGGTTGTGACTGGATCGTTAATCTGCATTGCTGTAAAAAGAAAAAAAGAACCACTTCTCCACCAAAAACCTATCAAAAGATTATATGCTTTCACTCAGATAATCTACACTTTAAGCCAGGGTACTTATAGAAAACTATATTACTTAAGTTTTGATGCATCCTCAATCATCCAGGTAAGGAAATTCCACAAAGTTGATTCTGTTCATCTGGATGCAGTGTTTTTAGAGGAAGTCACTTGATGAATGGAAAACACTGCATCCAGATGAAAAGAATCAACTGTTTGGTATATTACTTATGGACTAGTTATTGAAGCCCTTTGGTGGCTGGGATGGCTCCAGTCCACCCGTGACCCTAAACTGGAGGAGCAAAAAAAATGGATGGATGGATGGATACGTATAGAAGAGTATAGAACACCTTAATATATGAATGATTTTATGACAAGGTCTGTCTCATCAAACACGTCTTATGTGGTTTTGCTGCACACAAGGCTCATCCACCTATAGAAATAAGCAAGCTGTAATGGAAAGTCCTGCAGTATACTGGGTGAAGTAGAAAGACTGAAGCAAACTGAAGTCCCTTTGGGGCACTCTGGATAAACTCAGCTCACATGGAACCTCAAGAGGAAATTGGACTTGTTTATGAAGGAAATTACATCATTGGGCTTGGTTCAGACAATGACTTCATGCTGACAAGATAATGGCCAAGAGAGAGAGAGAGAGAAAGAGAGAGAACAGGGTTGGTTGCAGAAGTAATGTGTACATGTGAAAGGTTAATGAGTT